TGTATAACATTCAATCTGAAGGAGATGAAGAGAGGGGAGAAAGATGGGGTGAGGAGAAGAGAGAGAGAGAGGGAGTAGTGAGGTCAAAGATGACATTTTTATAATGAAGCTGAATGATTATAACCATTAGGCTCTTTAGCTTGAGACAAAGGAATAGAGGGGGATTCTTGTTCTCCAGTCCAGGATGGTGAACTTCTCAAAAGCATCCAGTCCAAGGCCCTAATCCTGTCTCAAGACTCTTCTGCTCTTCTGATATCCTTCTCTTTAGTTCTAGTAGGCTATGAAGAAGATGAGTTCACCTTAAACCAAGGAGGCATAATCTTTCTTGGAGGGGAGGTGTTAGAGTTGGACTTGGGAATGGCATGCTGAAGTTGCATTCTCCAAACGTTTAACTTCATTTGAATTAACGAGGACGACATGGAATTGATTACATACAATTAATGTAATGACTTGCCATGGACTTAAGTAATGTTCTCCTTGGGTTATATTCCAATTTTGCATTACAGTTTTAAACTTTTTAAAGGCTTGATGGAAAAGGGGTGCATTGAAGGCCAGGCCTTGTTGTTCTCCAGAGAGGAGCAGTCAGGAGCCCCAATCAGGAAAATGCCAACCTTGACACCCCCACCCCACCCCACTATCTGAAAAGCTTCACTCTCTTTGTCTCAGGCTAGAGTTTGACTTAAATAGCTCCCTTCCATTTGCTCCCCAACCACAGACATTTCAGAGAGCTACGTCCCTAGGTCTGGAGTCTGCATATTGAAGAAATAATGTTTTCACTCTCCTGGGGAGTTTCAACACTCGGCCCTAAAAACTGGATGATGTAGATGGTGTGGTTGAAGCTGGTTTCACAAAGCCAAGATCCTGGCTCACAGTTGCAGCAGGAATGTGATCTGTGCTCCAGCACTGTCATAAAAGGGCAGTGGGGGTGTTGCACTGCAGCAGCTTGTGGCTGGCTGTGGCCATTTGGCATTTATTTAGGTGAGTTTTTTTACATTATTTATGAGGTTTTTTCCTCCCCCCCCCCCCCCCC